AAACCAGTTCTAACTGGAAATGCCCAGGTTTATGTGGAGAGAAGTGAGCTGGTAGTGGGTGCAGACTTGTCCCGTGCTGGCCAGCTCTGCGGGCTGTGCTGGACAAGTTCATAATGAGACCCACTACAGGCGTTTATTTACTCAGGGTGAGACTCCGCTAAACCTGAGGAGAAAGTAGATGCCATTTAATTTTTATTTCTCTTCATTCTGCCTTCCAACTGTCAGCAGTCATGCTACTTTATTCCTTCACTGGGATTCCTTTCGAAGCAGGCTCTATCAAGCCAAGAATAGAAGAAGTAGAAGCTAAAAATCCCTTCTATTCAAAAACTCAGAGGGAAAACACACTTGCTGGTTTGCTACTATGGAGAGTTGAATCTTTTGGGCATAGTTGTTACATGACAACCTTAGCATTTGTAAGTTATTACTGTAAGATGTGTGCTTTCATCGTTATTGATGTTCTCCTAAGCATGTATTTAAGTTTTATATGCAAATATATTTGTGCACATAAGCATACAGCTTGTCTGAATCATATATCGTTTATTAAGAACTATCATCAAAAACCTCACCAAATATAAAAGTTGTTGATGTTTTTATCTAGATATAGGTTAGGGACTAGACTAGCAAGCCAGGAAGGCAGGCATTAGAAATATCTATGAATGTTTCAGAGTTTACTAATCTTTGTGGAATCTCACTCAGTCTGGACGTAGGAGGACATTCCCATCTCCAATAAGACCTCATGAGAAGATGTAGGAGTGGGGGGGGTGACCTGCCGTTCTCTTAAAGAGTAGAAAGCAGATAATTTATTGCTAAAACCTGAATTGTTTCACAGGTGGAGGACAACAATTCAGTGCAGTGCTGGCCAGAGAATATCACCTAGGGCGTGTGGTACTTGACATCTTCTGGGTATCTATAGATGAAGACACTCAGTTCTACAGATTTCAAAGTATATCCTTAAGTGCTTGAGTAATTATGAACAAAGGAAAAACCCCAGATAATAAAAACCATCTGTATTTTCTCAGGCTTGAGCTGTATACAAATATTAGTGAGCTACACAGGTTTTGGCTTCACTATAGATTATAAAAAATGGTACAGGAGAGAGTCATCTGAACAACCATCAGTGCCAAACAAGGTAAATATGGTGACTGAGCAAACAGCGGGTTTGGTTTTTGTGTTTTTCTCCCATTTTTTTGGTTTATGGTATGTATATGGTATATATTCAATATTTTAGGTAACTTTGACTTTAGAAACTTAGTTAAGTTCTCTTATCATTGGTAATAATTTTAAAAATATGTTTTTAATTGAAATAGAATTACATCATTTCCCTCCATCCCTTTGCCCCCTGCAGGCCCTCTGAGTCATCCTCCTTCCAGCCCTTCTCATGCCTCCCCCCACTCTCAAGCTGATAGTCTCTTTTCCTTGATTATTACTATTTACATATGTATGTGTATACACACACAGATTTGCATATTTGTGTGTGTGTGTGTAATTAGTTGAATCCGTCTTTGGTGTTTGTGCGCGTGTTTTCAGGGTTAACCAACCTTTGCCTGACAAAGCAGGAAGTGTGTTTCTCCCTGCGAGAGGCTGATTCTACTTCTCCCTCCCGCAGTCATTAACTGTCTACAGTTATTTGTCGAATGGTGGGACCCCAAGAAAGTTTCCACTTTCCATATTAGCATGTCTGTCGATGCAACCATTTTCAGAAGAGACTGTTTTACAGCACGTTTTTTGGTATTTGTCGCTAACAATTTTCTACCTACTCTTCTGGGATGTTCCCTGAGTCACAGACGCATGAGTAGTGACGTAGATGTACCTTTTAACTTGGCTTTCCACAACCCATTATTTTCTACATTGCCTCCAGTTGTGGTTTTCTGGGAGGGTCTCCATTTATTGTTAAGAGAGGCTTTCTAGCTAAAGGGTGGTGGCTACACTTACCTGTGGGTACAAGGCTAAGATTTAGAGTATAGTAGGAATTATGCTGAACTAGCAAGGTGGGCATGAGTAGATTCTTTTCTAAGATCCATGACACCACTAACCCCAGGCTAGGTTTCTAGTACCAGGCGTGATTTCCCTCCTGTTGCGTGGGCCTTAAGTCCAATTAGACAGCTGTTGGCTGGCACTGCCACACGAGTGCCCCTTACAGCACCTTTATGGACATCTTGCCCTGCTGGCAGTTGTCATGCTTTATAGATGATGAAGCTGGGGAGGGCTGTAATAGCTTCCCTCTCTTTGCAACTTGCATAATACCTTCTGGAACCATGAGAGTTAGAGCACAGGAAAGTCACTTTCAGGTCAGAACCAGCTTGGAACTTCTGAGTCCTATGTCCAGAGGGTGCAGTGCCTTCAGCACCAAAAGCTACATCAATAATCTCTGGTGTTTTGAGAGTCACCTGGATTACCCCCGACAAACCATTAAAAAGATGCTTTCTCGTGCTTAGTGCTAAGGTTTTTGTTAGAACATGGTTCTTGTGGGGAACATTTTCTTCTAAAATGTCACCAGCATTATGCTACCCAAACTAGCTCTGCAACATTTTCAAGTTCAGAAGCAATGACTAGTTAGAAATTACTCTCTCAGCTAGATGTTTTCACTCTAAACCCGAAGTTTCCAAATGATGGATTTTCCATTCATATCTTTGGTGGTACCTAATCCAAAGCTGAGATTGCAGGAGCAGAAAACTAGTCAATATTAGTGGTTTGATACAAAAGAAATACAGCAATGACCCCAAGATTTTCATGTTCATTGAATAGTAAAATATACTCAGTATAAACTTTGGACTGTTACATATGCTTTAATTCTTTGAAAATGTTAGATAACTCATCTATAATTTATTTTGAATTCTCCACCAGTTTTAAATATTAAATTAAGCTTCACAATCCATTCTTAGACTGTTCCAAGTATCACCTGGGAGATAATACTTCACTTTGAAATCTTGTCATGAGAAAAATTCTTTTTTCTAGCTGGTACATTTTAAACCATTTGGTTGACTGTGACTTGAAGGTGATATGTGTCCCACTTCGTATATTATAAAATCTCAGTTCTGTTTTATTTCTTGAGATTTTTATAAGGTCTGTATTTTGAAGAGTTTTAAAATTTGCTCTCGCAGGAAGAAATGCTTGTTAGGGTTTGCAAGCACCGATAGATACTTGAAGTATGTTAATAATATGTTTATAATATGTTCCCTAAACTATAGAGATCCCCTTTTCAAAGCTACACATGGAACCCACTGTCCAATGTGGGACCTAACAACTGGCTTCAGAAATGGATTCATTTGTGGAGCTGAACCTGCCACACTCCAGGGGACTGCACATCCTGAGCAGCTGACGGACTGCTTGGTAGCAGTTTACTAGAACTTCTTCCACAGCAAAATCGTTACGTTATCTGAGTTCAAGATTTCACTGCTCCTTTGGCTCTTGAGCGATCACTTGATACTCCAGTCAACAATCATGGGTGATATTTCCAGGTTCCTATTGGTCTATCAGGAAATTTACCTCCTTCCTGCTTCACTAGGGACTCCCTTTGCCCCCTGCTTCACTAGAGACTAGATGAGGGAAAGAGACTCAAGGAGGTGGGAACTAGAAATGAGGAAACAGTGTGGACTATTGTAGTAGGAGGCCGCCCAGACTCCCTAAATAATCACACAGAAGCTATATTATGTAAATCACCGTTTGGCCAGTAGCTTAAGTGTATTTCTGCCTAACTCATGTCTTATATTAACCCATCTCCATTAATCTGTGTATTGCCATGAGGCTGTGACTTACCGGGTAGAAGTTCCGGCTTCTGTCTCCAGTGGGGCTACATGGCTTCTCCTAACTCTACTTTCTTCCCCCCAGCATTTAGTTTAGTTTTCCCCACCTACCTATATTCTGCCCCGTGCAGGCCTAAGACAGTTTAGCAACCAATGATATTCACAGCATACAGAGGGGAATCCCACATCAGACTATGTTAGGACTCAAGTACAATTTTGCTTCAGTCTGGTGTTAATCACATTGTTTCATGCATCCCTGTGCTGATCCCATAACCCCTTTTGTGTGTACATAAACAGTTCAGGTCCTGGATCATGCCTGAGATGGTCTAAAGTAAGAGAGCACAGCATTGGTGTGTCCTAGAACGAAGGACTGAAAATGTGTGTAGCCATTGTATAGTCATGGACAATCACGGACCAGTGCAATAGTGGTCCATGACGTAAATGGTTTGAGGCGTCTGTGGTCTGGCCAGTAGGGGGCCACTTTGGAGGATGTGTACATGCTGCTTTTTAGGAACATCGGGTGTCTTGAACTGAAGCTGTTACCCACTATTCTTTCTACATGTGTGTTGATACCCTGTTTATAGCACCTGTTCTTTAGTTCACAGCCAGCCATTGGCTTAGTCAGGGCAGAATCCTTCCTGGCAAATAGCATGTTGTTTCTCAGGCTTATTGTCTGCGGTTACTGACTGGCAGGATGGCACCCTGCTGGGCAATCAACTGTGGGGGCACTGTGGGTATTAGATTTTCCCAGGGGATGAGTTAAGCCCTGGTCCTTTTGCCCTAGCGCAGTTGGAGAGACTGTATACAGGGTAATGCAGAGCGATGGTGCTGTCTTTTGATGTGTTGTTGGGATGCCGTGTGCAGAGGAGGATTCTGGCCCTTCCATTGTGTATGGGAAACTGTGATTAAGCCTTCAATGAGTGCCTCTTTACCAGGCAACATGGGGACAGTGCCTGGAATCTAGTCAGTTCATTGATAAAACTCGGGGTTGGAGGCATGACTGTTTCTTTGTCTAAGTGCATCCATGCCTTCGTAGTGGGCTACTGCCCAACTCTGCCGTCCGAACCAGCTGCTGGCTGATCGGAGACTTGCAGAGGCCATTTGAAAACACCTACAAGGGAAGCTTTTAATCTTTCAGTGGGAAATTTCAGGACTCAGCAGATGTCACTGAGCTACTGGTGGCCCGTTAGGATTTGAGCTGGGATTATGGAAGGTTAGGGTTTCAGCAGTTCTCAGAAAAGGAAGGGAATTCTGTGCTCAGACTCAATAATTTATTTATGGAAACGTTGAACTTCAAGGCCAAACCTGTGCCATAGTTCTTCCCATTGAAATGAAACCTGAGAAAATGAAGAAGGCAAAGCAGGATGTCCGTTGTCTGGGGAGGATGTTCTGAACTGAGTGATGTCTTCCCTCCTGGCCTGGGAGGATGTTTTCTTTGGTGAGATGCTCACCATTCGCTTACCATTCAGATTCTCTGAATGACTGGTGATTCTACCTGTGCACCCAGCATCTTGTCCACTCTTCTCCCATGACTTCTAGACATTGTTCTAGGGAAAAAGAACATCCACTCAAAGAAAGGACAACTTTAACCTTCCCTGTGAGATTTCAACCTTCCCCGGGACTATTTTAGGATTACACGAATCTAATTTCTTTCTTTCTTTTTCTTTTTTTTGGGCCACTCCTCATTTCTTACAGAAAAACCTTTATCCTTTTACGTGTTCAAAGGCTAGTTCCGTACAATACTAAGGCTGTGTGCTTTGGAGAAAGCCACCAAAATTAAAAGAAAAAACTATCAAAGGGTAAACCATTGTCATGGTATTGAATATCTTTCTTTCAAAATAGGCTCTCCTGAGCACCAGAATGAGCTAGAATTTTAGATTTCATGAGACTGATAGCCCACTTGAAAAATAGCTTTGTGCCAGAATCCATTATTCTTTTGGAATATTTATTGAGAAATTAAAAAGATTTATGCAGATAAATATGTATATATTTATTTGCTAAATATAAACTTATATGCATATAGTTTGCCCGACAATAAGAGTGCTGAGCTAGCTATTAGCTAGCCATAGAGGCCAGGCAGTGGTGGCACACACCTTTCATCCTAGCACTTGGGAGTCACAGGCAGAAGGATCTCTGTGAGTTCAAGGCCACCCTAGGTTACACAAGATTGATACAGTCTAAAAAAAAATCAGAGTCAGGTAGTAGTGGCTCATACCTCATACCTTCAGTGCTGGTACTTGGGAATCATATGCTTTTAATCCTGGCACTAGGGAGGTGGGTAAAGGAAGGGATATGACTGGGTGGGAGAGGAATATAAGGTGGGAGGAGACAGGAGGCGTTCAGTCTGAGAATCCTAGGGATGGAATTGCCCCTTCAGTCCGAGGTCTCAGTAGAATAAGAACCAATCGCTGGCTACTCTGCTTCTCCGATCTTTTAACTTTCACCCCTTTTTATCTGACTCCAGGTTTTTATATGTGTGTGTGTGTGTGTGTGTGTGTGTGTGTGTGTGTGTGTGTGCATGTGTATGTATGTGGTGTGTATAGTGGTACTTTGTGGGAATGGATCTCTTTGTAATTTGAAGAGAAACAGTTTTGTGCTTCAGTTTGCAAATAGTCACTACTTTTACCTTAAAGACACCTTAGTGAAAGACTAGAAAGAATGCATCCACCGGCTAGACTTCTGTTCTCCCAGAATCTCCCCAATCCCTCCTTATTTTTTTTCTGTTCCTATGCCATTTCTGTCTGAAGTGGTTTGGTGGGTTGCTCAGAGGGTAGAGCCTGGAGGCCGCTCTTTGGAGTATATTCAGCTGTCTCTCCTGCATGACCCATGGTCCTGGGAGAATCATTTAGTCTCCCAGTGCAGTGATTGTTTTCATCAATAAAATGGGGGATATTTGTGGTGCTTTATGAGACTCTCCCATGGTCTAATGTATAGAGGATGACATTATACATGGTATAACTCTTATGTTTGCTATTTCCTGATATTCTACTGGCCTGAGATGGTCTCAACAAAGCTATGAGTAGGAACGAGAATTGGATGTGGAAGAGACTAAAGCAGACTCTGTTCTTTTATTAGGGCTGTGTTGGGAACTGTGTCCTCTGGTTTTTAATTATACTGTACCAAATGTTATTCACTGGGTCTAGATCTTCTAAGTGAAACTTGTATGCAACAAGAGGCTTTTCATGCTTCAACAACTAAATCTCCATGCAGAGGGCTGGAAACCAAGTTTCCCAGTGTTCGGGAGAGTTCTACAGCAGCAGCAACAACAACAATTTCCATCCAAGTTCCAACATGTTGTATTCAGTGAGAGGAAAACAATTCTAGCAACCCGAAATAGATAAATCTTGCTATAATCTGAGATGCAGGAAAAATAAAATATATTTGTACACAATTGAAAAGATAAAAATAGAACTCACCAAAAATTTTCTCTCAACAGTAAATAGGATACAAAGCAGAGGGGCTTGGGAAGGTCGCTTGGTTGGTAAAGTGCTTGCGTTGTGCCATTAGAATATGAATTTGATGCTAGTATACACTTTGAAAATTTGGACATGGTAGAATGTTCCTGTAATTCCAGTACTGGGGAGGGGCTCACTGGCTAGCCAGTCTAGTGAAATAAGTGAACTCCAGGTTCAGTGAGAGACCATGTCTCAAAAAATAAGGTAGAGATTAATTGCAGAATACATGCAGTGTTTACCGCTTGGCCCCCATACATTCTGACACACACACACACACACACACACACACACACACACACACACGCATAGTAGCATTTGAAATGTTTCTTTTTGCTGTACAGTTGAAGACTAATCTGTTGAACCAAAGACATGTCCTATGCCATAGTTTCAAAGTATGTATATACCTGACATTTTTAAATGTATAACAAATTCTTATACATTGAAACAATTGATTTTGATTTCCTTCTGTATGATAATCTCATCAATATTTTTCATAGACGAGAGTTGCATGTAATTATTTTTATTTGTAACAGAGAACAAAGCTTTGACTTGAGATATTTGAGTACGTAGTGAAGAATTTATAAGGCAGAAATCAAATTCAGGATGTTTAAAAACAAATTCACATAATTTTTAGCATAGTCATTTTGCCTTTTGGAGACAATTTGATTCAGTCCCAAAGAAGATTCTTAGGCTCTGATAGCATACAAGGCACCAACGAGATGCTAAGGTTAGGCAGGCCCAAGAGCGGACAGATGGTTTACATAGGATCACAGTATTATAATTTCAACTTTTTCCCACTTTGGTGTGTGAATTCACACTCTGCCTTTACCTTCAGTATAGTTTAGATAATCCATAATGTGCTTGAACCCCACAAATATAGCATTTTTTTAATTCATGTGTTTGTGTAAGATCTTTGTATTTAACATTTATCTCATTACTGAACATTGCTACCTAGTGTGGTAGTTTGCCGATTAGACTATGTATATTATAGGTTAGATCACTTTAAAGAATCAGAGAGAAATGTATAATTTAGCAAGCTGTGATGAATTTTGTATGAAGATAAGCATCTGATTATATCAGTATTTTATTCCCAACACAATACACCTAAAGTAGAATGAATTTACCTTGATATGAGCAATGGCAGATGGGAAGAGGACCTGGAAAGCAACACAGCTATCTAGCATAGCTCCCTGGAACAGGGAGGGCTGTGGATGAAGATTCCTCACTGCAGAAAGAAAAGTTGTGTATCTCAACTACACTTGATGAACAATGGACAAATTATTAATACAGGCATAGAAGAGAAAGGCAAGGTGATCAAAAGGGTAGGGAGAAAATAAGTGGCTATGAGGTATATTTTGGAGTTTATTTTAGAAAAGTTTGAGTGTTAATTTAAATTTGTGTTGCTTCGTTGACTAGGCCCTATCACCTAGAAACAGTTCTTTGGTTTGATTGAAGAACTCAGGAAGTGAAAACCTGATCCCACAGGTCAGCCTTCCCAGAGTCACTCATCTTTGATCTTGTGCGTTTTCTTTTTTATCTGTTCTCAATACTCTGTTGGTCATCTCTACTAGGAACTTTTAGAAGAAACTCCATGACTGCAAAGGAAATGAGAGATCTGACTGTAACATGATGGGCCAGCTTGTTGGGGTTTCTTTCCTGCCCAGTTCCCATAGCTGTTTAACCCCAAAGAATCACACAGAAGTCTACATTACATATAAACTGATTGGCCCATTAGTTCAGGCTTCTTATTAGCTTCTATCACTTATATTAACCCATTATTCTTATCTACGTTAGCCACATGACTCAGTACCTTTTTCAGCGGAGCAGGTCACATCCTGCCTTTGCTGTGATCTGGGCAGGACTGCCATAGGAGCTTCCTGCTTCCCAGAATTCTCCTATTCTCCTTTCTCCATCTCTACTTCCTGTCTGGTTGTCCCACCTATACATACTGCCTGGCTAATGGCCAATCAGTGTTTATTTAAAATATAATTGACAGAATATAGAATTGTCCTACACCATCTGACTTTCTGGGAATAGACAGACATGGAATCCCTAAAAGATGTAATACTACTGAGGATAGTTTCTGTTTTATCAGAGAAAGTATTCAGAAGGCCACTGTGACTGCAGGCAAAGATACTAAGATCCCAGATCGGATCATCTCTACATGATGCTAACACTCAATAGAACTACATGGGACACTTGTGGTTTGTTCCTTCTTAGCTGACTCCCAGGCAGTCCAGACAAAAGACTGACAGCAGGAAGAAGTCAGCCTCCAGCTCTGTCTGATTGGCCCATCTCAGCTGGCACAGAGCACTGTCATGGTGTCTCTCAAGGGACTTCACTACAGCTTTTTTTTCTTGATTACACTGTTCTTTAACCTTAAGCCCCATGCTAAGTATATGAATCCAGCATATGCAGTTTTAATATTTCCTAGTAACCCACTGAAAAACAAAAAGTAAATATTGATTGTAGTAAGGTGTGACACATTTCACTTTCTAGAATTCCAGTTCAGCACAACTAAATTAATAACCTCATGGACCTTTTTTGCCTACCTAGTAATGTCTAGCTTTATAGATTAGATAGAAATATATGGAGGAAAGTCTTGACTGGAGTAAGATGTCAATGGTGGTGGAACGCAATCTACACATACTACAGATATCTGTTACTCATGTACACAGGAGGACCTGTGTCTGATGATTCTATTGCAGATGCTCTGGTTATGTTTCTACACCTGGGTATTTGCTAACACCTATACGGCAGACCGAGTCACTCAGTTTCCATTTAGGGGTCTAATGTATTTGACAGATATATTTCTCAAGAATTCAAGACCAGTGCAGTAGCAAGCTCGGCTGTAAGTACATCCAAGCGTTGAGATAGGCAGTACCTCTCTTCCCTGTGCTGACGGCCAGTGTTCAATCAATACCGTGTAAGAAGGGAGAAGCAACATGGCTCACAAAATATCCCCACAGTATATTAAGGCAAAAGAGAAAACTTCAAGTGGGATATTCTGTAAAGTAATGAGTTGTTCATGTTTTTCCTCTCTGCTTGTTGAAGAGCCCCATTGTTTCTGTGGAGTTTTCCTCATGCTCCCTGCATTCTGAAATGACCTCTTCCTTACTTTAAAAATAGTAGGTTCTAGAACACTATCACGTGCGCACAAACACACAGACAGTTTTAGGATGTGGTCTTCTTTGATGTGAGCTTGTGGAGTCCTGTATAACCATCTGCCCACCTGGAGAGCAGATGCTCCTCTTCTCTGGCAAAACTTGGAGGAAAAGGGCAACAGTGCAGGGAGGCTATAGCCCACCATGCTTCTAACTCTGACAGAAGCTGGACTTCTCAGAAAGGCCTGCCGGCTCTCCTCAGCTGCTAGACAAGGGTCCTCCCAGGGACCAAAGAAGAAAGTGTCACCGGAGTGTAATGGGTTGGAGGAGAAGCATTTAAAAAAAATGCAGGCAGCATGACTCTAGATCAGCTGAAGTGCTCTCATTGTGAAAGGCTGCCCCAGCCAGGGCTGAAAAACGCAGCCATGACTCTAGGTCAGCTGGGGTGCTCGCACTGGGAAAGGCTACTCCAGCGGTTTCCTGGTCTTCATAACGCGGAGCAACTGATCCTTGTGTGAAGAGTGCATTCTGGTAGAACCTGGGTTAGCGGGCTCAAACCTAGTCTCCCTACTTTCAGCTCCACGAACAGCACAAACATCTTAAGCCGCTTTCCTCAGGCTGTGACTTGCCCAGCAGTCAGCTGGGCTAGGGGAGCTGGGAGCCTTGATTGGTAACATTTTCCAGTTTCCATGGTGTAATATCTTCCCCTTCCGTAGTTCCAAATTCCAGAGAGTTGTGGCCTGCAAAATTCCAGAATATTTAATAATCTACTCATTAGTTGTCCCAAACACATCATTGAGGAAAATAACAAGAGTTTACCTCACAGGACAGCAGTGAGGAGTCATGAAGCAATACATGTGAAGTTCTCAGCATTGTGAGTCTGGCACAAAACACATTCTTACAACCCATAATACTTTCCAGTATTTTGCTTAGATACCACTTTTGGGGAGTCTTGGTAGTAATATAAGAATTAATTTGACTCCAAGGTATCATATCTCGTCAAAAGTAGTGACTTTAAAAATGCACATTTTAAGGGTAAAATTAATATTCCATTTCTTGAAACAATCCCTATGTGCTACACAATTTTTGAGAAAAGAGGGCTATTTAATGACATGAAAACAACTTTCCAAAGAAACCATTAACTGCTACTTCAAATGCTCTCAGCATCGTTACAGATGATGACTTTATTTTGTAGTTTGGAAGCTCTTCAACCAAGTTCTAAGATCCTTTTCATAGTTTTCAGGTCCGGTTAGTTGTTGATCCTTAAGTCAGGCATCCACATGATGTTTTATTTTCTGTTATTGATTATGCTCTCTACGTTCTAGCTTCTTAGCCACCATGGTGTTCTAGAAACATCCCTAGTTTTCCTGATTGCTTTGACATGTGACATGTCAGGCAATTCAGCCTTACTCTTGACTCTCATGTCTCACTGCAAATATCCTGGTGGAGCCTGTGCAATGTCCACCAGGGACTAAGAGGCTGGGAGTGGGGCCGTCTACTACTTTCACACTATTTTTTCTGATCCTCTTTGTAAGATCCTCCAGGATGAGGGTAGAAGCACTGTCTATCTTATCACATAACGATGGTGCTTTACTTCTCCTTTTGTCCTTTCTTTGGCTGATTCTCTGCCCAATCTTGGAGTGTCCCAGAACAGTTACCATAAAAATATTGCTCCTTCTGAAGAGCCTGGGGATACCGTGGGGACACTGAAGATATTTCCTTTCTCTTCCTTTCACTGCATCAAAGGTTTAGGCTCAAGCTGACTGATGCTTTTCTTCTCAGCTTCACTTTCAGCTTCTAGGACAAGACGTGTCTACAATGGGACTCGAACTGTCTATCAGAAGTCCACAGCTTCCAGTTAAACAGGCAAATCAGGCACTGGTTACGAACCCTACCCTAGCAAATGTGGAGGTACTGGGGAGCATTTCCTCCCTCTTACCCTCTCCCTTCAGCTGCTTAGATCTCTGCCAAGACAGGCAGAGACAGGCAAAAACTGCTACCAAAGAAAAATTCTAGCCAGGGAATAAATTATTATTTCTCCGTTTTCTCCACATTTGCCCGTCTTTTAATGGATATTCTTAAGGCCCTCTCAATAGTATTAGAGACAGAGGAACACTTCGCCTTTTCCCCTCTGTAGGATGTTTCACTATCAGCCCTGTGTCATATGAGAATCAGCGATCCCATTATTTCCTCACACAGTTATGCTAGTTGGTGGTTAGATGAATTGATGTCCTAGGCAACTGTAAAGAAGTACTCTATCCTGAGTGTGTGAATAATGGAAGTCTGGGTGGCTCAGTGTTGAGATCCATGTGTCCTCAGGGTTGGCTGTTCCTCCTCCTCATTCTTTCTCTTCCACCTCTACCTCTTTTTTCTCTCCCCCTCATCATTGTCCTTCTTTTGGTTGTTTTCTGGAGGCAGGCTTTCATTATAAAGGTCAGGATGACCTTAATCTTTGTAATCTTCACGACACACCTACCTTCACCTCTCCAAGTGATGGGACACCAGTATATACCTCTGCACCTGATTGCAGCTGACTTTTACTAAGTTCCCTATTTTGTGTGTGTGTGTGTGTGTGTGTGTGTAAATGACCATCTTCTTTTGTCTCTTTACATAATTTTCCCTTTTTGTACTAAGTTCAGCTTTCTTCTTATAAGGCCACCAGTCTTATTGGTTAGGACCATTCTAATGGTCTTAGTTTAATTTAATCGAGTCTTTAAAGGCAGTGTCTCCAAATATAGTCCCATTCTGAGGCATTAGACATCAGGACTTCAATATATAAATGGAAGGAGGTTGTCACAATTTGATTTTCACAATTCAATTTTTCTCTCAATTTTGAGATGACACAAAAATCCCACTGAAAATTATGTTTGCTGGAAATAGAAAGAGCAGATACCAAGCGTTTTTAATACTTTTACTTTGTCTACATTACAAAATAATGAAAAATAATGAAACATACCAAATAGCATTTTGTATCCCAAATGGCAGAAGCAGCAGACAAGAATCAAGAAGAAATTTAACTATGAAATATTGGAAACAATCACAGGTCAGCAGAGAAGACATCACAAGAAACTATGGAAACATCAATAGTCTACTTTGAGACTAAAGAGAATCTGCATCATACCCTTTAA